TTGATTTCTTTGCCTTGAATAAGAGGTCTCTTTTGAGAATAATTCAGGCTGAAGAGAAAGTTCAATTGTGGATAAGCCAGAAAATATGTTTTCAAGTACAACATGGGATAGTGATTCCCTAAATATAGCAAGTTTTCGTAGTTAGATTTGGGGCAGCTGGGTAGCACAGTGGACACAACACTGAGCCTGGAGTCGGAAAGACTCATCTTCCTGAGTTGAAATCTGGCCTCAGACACTTAATAGCTGGGTCACCCTGGGCAAATCTCTTTATCCTGTTTACCTCAGTTTCTTTATCTGTAAAATGAACTGGAGAAGGAAATGGCAAACCACTCTGGTATCTTTGCTAAGAAAATCCGAAATGGGATCACAAAGAGTCACACTTGACTGAACAACAACAAAATTACATTTGTCTTTTTATGTAATTGGAATCATAGATTTAGAGATGGAAGGGACCTAAAGTTCATCTAATCCAACTTCCTCATTTTGTAGAGGAACCAGTTGAGACCCAAGGAGGCTGAACAACTTATTCAGGGTCATACATGGTGAGTGGCAGAGACAGGATTTGAGCCCAAGTCTTCCAGCTCCAGAACCAGCACACTTTCCAGTACACTGTCATCGAAGTGTTAGTGTCTATCTTAAAGAAAATCAAACTGAGGGCTTAAAGGAGCATCCTTATACTCACCAGAAAATAGATAAGTGCCAATTGGATGCACTGCTCTGCTTTTTAGTCATGATGATAATGATCATCTCTCGAATGGTAGAATAGGGCTTCCAGGCTTACAAATTACATACATCATCTCGGTGTTGTAGAAAGATAACTTTGTGGTTTTCTTTGGGGCCTTTGAGAGATTAGACTCAGAGATGCACAGACCTTCCTAGAAGGAGATGCTGCTCATGACCATCAGGGCTAAAGTTTCTGTTGGATTTTTCCCTCGTCCTGGTGCTTCACTCTGACGAGTCAAAGACTTTGCCTTCTAGTTTGTTTACAATCAGCAAATTATAAACACAGGAGGCTCTTGTCACTCTTGACAAGGCTGGAATGTCTTGTTGACAAGGCTCTTGACACCCTTTCAGTCATTTGGGTGACAGTGGGGATGCCATCTGCTGTAGAAAATGGGCTTATCATGTTTTCCTCAAGGAGGCTGGCTCCCTGTACAAAGTGGTGACTGGCCCACGAGTGTTTGTATATTTTTACCTCTGCTGTGGCTGCCACCAGGCCAGCTTGAGACAATGATCTGTGGGTAGGTACCAGGCCCAGGTGAACAGGCTTATATTGGCATTGAATTACTGACTTTGGTTCAATAGCATTCTGTTCCAACCACTTGAAAACCTTGCTAATTAGGGATCTGAGATTTCATTGGTGGAATTCTCTCTGTTCTGTGACTTGGTCCTCAAGAATTGCCTGGAGCACTGAGGTTCAATAACATGACCAAGAAGTCTTTCTTTCCTCCCTCCCTCCCTTTCTTCCTTCTTTATTTCCTTCCTTCCTCTCTCTCTTTCTTCCTTCAGTCCTTCCTCCTTTTCCTTTCTCCCTCCCTCCTTCCCTTCCTTCCTTTCTTCCTTCATCCCTTCCTTCCTCCCTTCCTTCTTTCCTTTCTTCCTTTATTTTCTTCCTTCCTCCCTCTCTTCCTTCCTCCTTCCTTTCTTCCTTCTTTCCTTATTTAGTTCCTTCCCCCTTTCTTCCTCCCTTCCTTTTTTCCTTTTTTCATCCCTTACTTATTTTCTTTCTTCTTTTCTTCCTTCTTTCCTTCATTCCTTCCTCCTTTTTTTCTTTCTTTCCTTCCTTTCTCCCTTCCTTCTTTCCTTATTTTCTTCCTTTCTCCTTTCCTTCCTCCCTTCCTTATTTTCCTTTGTCCTTCCTCCTTCTTTCCTTCCTTCATTCCTCTCTCTAATTATGTTTCTTTTTTCAAGTTAATATTACCAAGTGTTCCATGCAGTGATGCTCCTTGCTGCCTTACAGCCCACAGACAATCTCTGCCACCGCCTTTGTTTGCCTCTTCCAGAGATCCAGGTTACCATCCTCTCCTTTAGCTGCCCCTTTCTGATGGAAAAGGAAGCCAGGATAAACAAGAATGTCAGCAGCGATATGCTTTAGTTCCTCCAATCACATGTCAATTCACTAGTCACCGGACAAAGATTTCAGATTGAGAGCACCAAGTGTTGGGTCAATGTTTAGAGACTGTCTGAAAACTATAGGTTTCAGAGTGCCCTCTGCCTACTTCTCATGTTATAATGAGCTTCTCCATATAAGGTGCCTCCAAACTCTTAGTGAGTGTAATTTTAATCGATTAAAACACCACTTTAGGGGTGATTATAGGGTCATAGAACTAGGGACGAACAGGACCTCAGAACCTCTCGAGTCTAACCCCAACCTTTTACAAATGAGGAGACTGAGGTCTCAAGAGGTCTTGCGACTTGCTGAAGGTCACACAGAGGGAGTAAGCAGTAGAGCTAAGATAGGAATTAAGTTCCTCTGACTCTCAATCCTGAATTCCTCCCACTAAACCCTGCTGCCATCTTTGGTATGTGGCAGACTCAGTTTGTCATCAGCACTGAACCCAGAATGTTTCTGGCTTGCCCAGCATTCTTTCTCTACCGCCATAGCCTTTGAGACTCTCCGGAGCCGCCTCTGTGCCACAATGAGACACCAGGATAGGACTTTGTGAGAGCGAGCTAAGATGTAAGGATGAAGCCACGTAAACATTGTCAACGCTTGGATATTCTTGCGTGGATTTTCTGTTCTTTATCGAATTAGCCATGTGACTTGTTGACTCTCTCTCTCCTCACAAAAGTAGGTACAATTGAGAGAGAGCTCTAAAGTCAGCAGGCAGTTTTGAGAAGACCAGTTTCCACCATCAAAAAAGCCTGTGTCACAAACTGATATGTCAGCGAGCCTGACTTTGGCACTGAGGCATCTCTCAGGGGTGCCCGAGCACAGCAACGATAGCGATAGCTGGCATTTGCATAAGTACTCTAAGGACTGCAACGTGCTGTAAAAATATTATCTCATTGGACCCTCATAACAGCTCTGGGAGGTAGGTGCTGTTATTATCCCCATTCCATAGATGGAGAAGTTAACACTTGCCCACGCAGCTAACAAATGTCTGAGGCGGGATTGGAAATTAGGTCTTCTTGATTCTAAGGCCAGTGCTCTATCCATTTTGCCACCTTACTACCCACTGTAAATGGGGGGGAGGGCGTTGGACTCCATGACTTCGAGGGTTTCTTCCAGATCTACATCTATGACTTTGGGCAATGATTTTTGTAGCTGAAGCTCCTTTCCTTTTTATTTTCTGTTTGTGGGTTTTACTGAAGGTAAATGAGATCGATATGCCCGCTTTAAAAGTTCTCAGCAAATGAGCATGTTACTACAGCAACAAACTGCAAAACTGAAGCACCCTTGAATAGCGTCTAGTGTTTGATCAGGAACAGCTTACATGAAAGTTAATCCAGCACTTTCACCGTGTGCGTGGCAATTATTATGCCTTGGGATGATTAGGCACAAATGGGAAACAATTTATGTGAATGGGCATGAATAGCATTACTGGAAGTTGATGTCATAGCAGATCAGCTCCTCCCTCTGGCAGACCAGATGCTCCCAACTCTCTGCTGTGATAAATGGCCCAGCCCTGCCCTGAACTGAACCTTAGAGGAGGGCTTTGTGGGCCTTGGAGAAGGTGCCAGAAGTGGACCTCTTTCCCAATACTATTCACTGGAGTCCTTCATTGTAACATTTAAGACTTTATTTATCATGAAATAGATACTGCCAATGTGCCATGGCGAAAGGACTTTTCATTTAAAAGATAACCCTACCGTGCCTTCTCTTCTCCAGGCTAAATATTCCCAGCTCCTTCTACCTTCTATTTTCAGATGAAATATCTGTAAAGTGCTTAGCACAGTGCCTGGTCCATAGTAGGTACTTCATAAATGCTTATTCCCTTTTCTTCCCTTCTCTTCAATGCTCTTCAACCTATTGGTTGCTCTCCTCTGGACATTCTTCAATTTCTCAACATTCTTCTTAAAACATGGTGCTAGAACCTGAATGCAATATTTCAGGTATGGTTAGGCTGACCAGGGCAAGGCATTCTCTTGTGGCACTGCCATGTCACATTGTTGACTCATAGAATTTACCATCTGTTAGGATCCCAAAACTTTTTCACAGGAACTATTATCTAGCCGTGAACCCACCCCTTCCTACCTGGCACCATTCTATACTTGTGAAATTGATCGTTTGAACCCTAGTGTAGAACTTTACATTCATCTCAATTTAATTTCATCTAATTCAATTCAACCTGTCATTCTTCTTGTATCCAACTCTGTCATTCAACACTAGCCATTCCTTAGCTTTGTGCCTTCTACAGTGGTGACAGGGATGCCATCTGTGGCTTCATTCCAATCTTTGATGAACATGTGGAACGGCACAGAGTCACTGGCAAACTCCTGAGAACTCTACTGAAGATTCTCCCATATCCTCCCCTGACCCACTCTCCCCAATGCCCCACTTTGACATTGACTCAGTAAATGTAAGCTCTTCTTGTCTGGTCATAGAATCCAGCCCACATCTCTTCATCTTGTCCCCAGTTTTCACTCAGCATTTTTGAGTGAATGAGGAAGCTGGCATCTAGGAAATAAGTGACAATGACTATTTAAAAGAGTTTTTTTTTAATATAACAACTCTGAATTTGATTTGTAGACAAAGCAGTGGAACCTAGAAAATATGTTAATAATTCATTGTTTCTTTTAAATGCAAAAATGACTGTCTCACATCATAAGGAAGCTCTGTAACCCATTTATCTCCACTGGATTTTTGGAATTTATGCACACTGTCCTGATTTCCCCTTGTGACCAAGGGTATGTGTTTGTAACAGAACAAAGTTAGCTGGCCCCTTTGAAGCTAGAACCATCATTTTATTAATGCCCAGGGATATGAGGGAGGAGAAAAATTCAGCAGTACAGTGTTGCTGTGGATTCTGAAGCATCATGGTCCTTCTCTGTTTTAGCCACATCATGCACGAGCTGATTGAAACAGAACGAGTTTATGTTGAGGAGCTTCAAAGTATAATTGAGGTAAGCTAACCACGTTTCTGGAAATACCCTGATCCAACTGAGATTCTGTTGCACAACAAAAATCCAAGCTCTTCATGTTAATGGATAAATGATCAGTCTTGTATTCAGGAAGGCCCAGGTTCAAATCCTCTCTCTGACACTTACTCCCTATTTGACTTCATCTCTCAGTGCTCCAAGCAACCAACTCTTCAAGACTGAGCAGGCTGCTAATCTGTGCCTGCAGAAGGAGTTTTCATACCAGGAGTCCCCCATTCTAAAGAAATCACAGGTCCAAGACCTTAGCCCACTAAAAAAACAAACAAGCAAACAAACAAAAAAACATTTCCTTGGATCTTAGTAATTCCCATCAAGATTTTAATACGAAAACAACACTTTCTGGTTTTATAAGATCACGTACCTCCTACCATTCAGGAGTCTGAAAATCATATTAAAAATGACATTGATAGGCTGGTAGACTTGTGGAGAAACAAGTATACTCATTCATTGTTGGTGGAATTGCAAAGTTCTAAAATCCTCAATCTGGAAGTACACAGTAAATGTTATTAAAATAATCTGTTATTATTAATTAAAATAACCTTTTACCCAATAATTCCATTATTAAGGTTATGACCATCTCAAAAGAGGTTATCAGAAAAGAAAAAAAAATCTGAGCAAAGATTTTCATAGCAGCATTATATATGTGTATGTACATATACATATACATATAATATATACATATGTAAATATACATATATAAACATACATATTCCATCTATATGGAAACAAAATGAGAAGCAACCTAAATGTCCAATAGGGTAATGGTTAAATAAATTATGGTACACTCATTTAATTGAATATCATAAGGCAATTAAGAGAGTTAAATATGAGTAAACAAAGAGAAAAAGTTCATGAAAATGAATGAGTATAGAGTCGCTATAGGGTTTAGAGGGAGAGACTGAAAAAACATTCTGATACCATGTACATTGAAATTAATTCATTTAAATGTAAATAGTTATTAAGCAAGCATAGTTGTTTGCCTTGATGGTGAATGTCAAGTTGTTAACAAGATATTTAGTTAAAATGTTTAAATTGCATTTATGGCTAGCATTTCATCTTATGTAGCAAAATCAAATCTTATATAAAACTTTTCTCACATGATGCCTTAGGCAAATCTTAAAGTTTTAAAGTCTGTTCTGTTCCTCAGCCTTCCATGCTGAAAAAACCAGGGACAGTGGCCATTTTTTTGGTGATTTTGAAGCATTTTATTTTTCTTAAGTACGGATTTCATAAAAATGCAACCCCTGCAAAGTGTTTTGACAGTTGCTTTACAAACAGGCATACACTTTGGAGAAAATTTTGTGAACTACAGAATGCATCATAGAGATGGTTTCCCTCTCATTCTGTTACAGAGAAAACTGAGTGGCAGGTAAAGTGTTGGGGAGGGGGGAGGTTGTTAACCTGCATGACCTTGGGCAAGTAACTTATCAAATCATAGATTGAGAGCTTAGAGGTCATCCAGTCCAGTGACATCAAACTCAAATAGAAACAGATCCCTGCTGGCTGCATAGTGACTCAGATGTTTATTAATTTTATTAAACATTTCCCACTTACATTGTTATCTGGTTCTAACTGAGAGTTTTGCAACCATGGGTTTGGCACCTCTTCTCTATCCAAGCTCTTTATTTTATAGATGAGGAAACTGAGGTCCAGAGGTATAGGGACTTGCCCAAGGTCACACAGATAGTTAGTGGCAGAGTGAGGATTTGAACGTACATCTTTCAACTCCAAATTCAGTGTCTTTTCCATCTAACTTGTTGGTACCACAGAGCTAGCCATGTGGTGCTTTAGCATTCAGAGAAGTTAAACCATCCTTTCTCACACAGTCCACCTCTGAAAGCACAAAGGTGGCCTCATTCCAGTCCCAGGGCCAAAAGGCTATGTATTTCTGAAGGTAGTTTATTGAGGAGGGTGGGCAGCAATCCCAGAAGAAAGCTGTCAGGTTCCCTCGTGGGGGATGGCCTGTGAATTGCTTGTTTGTCAACTTATTAATGTTGGTGATCCCAGGAGGTGGCTGGGTGGGGGGGGGCAGCATCAGAAGATTTCTTCTTTAGAGCTGGAAGAGGCCCAATAGCCCACCCAGCCCAACCTCCTCATTTTCAGAGAAGGAAACTGAGGCCCAGAGAAGTAAGTGTCTTACCTAAGGCTACTCAGGGGTACAGATCTGAGATTGAAACCCACGTCTTCCGATTGTAAAACCAGCACTTTTTCCCCTGAATGGGTGAGAGGGAAGGGGTGAGTCTGGAGCATCTTCTTTCTGTGTTCCTGTCTGTGATACTCAGCACCTGTCCACCCTCTGCAGGGTTACGCGGCAGAAATGGACAATCCAGACTTAAATCACCTGATCCCGGTTGCACTTCAGAACAAAAAGGAAATTCTCTTTGGAAACCTCCATGAAATCCATGAATTCCATAACAGGTGTGTATCTCCCAGACGATCCCTGCTCCCTGGAAGGTTCTACCTCCTCACCCCCCACCCTTGGAAACCCTCATTCCCTTCAAAACTGGGCTCCAACGCCACCCACCCTACACAGTGCCAGGTACTGTGCTCAACAACCAAACAGTCCATGGCCCCAAGGAGGTTACAGTGAGGGTGGGGAGGACTGAGGTGTGGTGTGTAAATGAGAAGAATATTCACAAGTTTGAGGAAGGATGGAGCACTTAACTACTCCAGAGATCAGGGAAGACTTCCAGAGAAGGTGGCCTAGGAACCTCTAAGCCATTCCTCTCCCCAGTGAAGAATGGGCAGAAAGCAATGGGCTGGTTACTCTTTAATTGAAATGGTTTAAATTGGAAGTTTGAGGTGAAAGTCAATGTTGACTTCCTCATTCTTTTTGTAAGTATGTGACAGACTATAATATAATTTAAGTTTATTAGGGCTGTGGACTATCCCTGGGATTTCATAGATGTGGGAAATCCCCATGAGGAAATATCCTCTATTAATGCAGGTGGGCACCTTCAGGCACTTGGATCATGCCTCTGGCACTTAGAGAGTAATTCAGTGATTTACTCTGGCCTACCAGCCAGGATGGGTCAAAGGTTGGACTTGAACCCAGATCTTCCTGGTTCTGATGACAGCTTTTCTTGACCAATACTATGCCATCTCGCATATTATTTTATACGTGTGTATAAATACATTTACACCTGCATGAAATATATAAAGGTGTGGGTATATGTATATAGGCATATATATGTACATATGTCTGAGATCTAGAATTTTATTGATATGTGTATAATTATATATACACAGATTACATAGAAAATACATGTATGTATGGATATATGTCTATGGGGATATATGTATATACATACATATGCACATATAACTGAGGCCTATAATTTCACATAGGTATGTATAACTACATATACCAGTATATATTAAAAACACATGTATGTGCTGATATATGTATGTGCATATGCATATGAAGGGGCTCTGTCCATTGACAGGGCACCGGGCCTGGAGCCAAAAAGACCAAAATTCAAATCCAGCTTCAGACACTTAGTGGCTAGGTGATCCTGGGCAAGTCCCTTAACCTGTTTGCTTCAGTTTCCTCATCTGTAAGATGAACTGGAGAAGGAAATAGCAAACCATCTGTGCCAAGAAAACCCCAAATGGGGTCACGAAGAGTCAGATGGAACTGAAATAGCTGAACAGCAACATATATGCGTGCGTGCGTACATACATATGTCTGAGACCATAATTTCATCGATGTGTATATATGTACAGAGAAGTATACAGAAAATACATATGTGTGTATGTGCATATGTGCACACATTCCTGGGAACTAGGATTTCATCAGTGTGTATAGAGATATGTGCACAGATATACATAGAAAATCATCCATATGCTCATATACATATGTGTATATATACAGACATATACATACACCTATCTGAGACATGATGTCACTGATGTGATATACTTCCACAGATGTACATAGAAAATACATGTATTTGTGAATATATGTAAATGTATATATAAGCACATGCAGGCACATACACCTACATATCCACATAAATCTGAGATCCATAGTTTCATTGGTGTAGGGAACGCCTTCTACTAATGCAGATCAACAACTTTTCTGCTACATATCATCTCAAAGAATTGCCTTAGGTACTGAGAGGGTAAATGATATATCCAGGGTCACTCAGTTAGTATGTGTCTGAGAAGGGATTTGAACTCGGGTCTTCTCGCCCTTAAGGTCTGTGTTCTATTTGCTCTGCCACATTGCCTCACAGGTAGATATCTATACCTATCTAAGTTAAAATCAGGTTGCCTGATTTGGGTGAATACAATCATCCTACAAGATTCCAAAGAAGAAATATGGAGGGGGGAAGTTTCCATCATGTCCATTTCTGTGCCATTGTTGAGCAGAGGAGCGTGTGGATACTCCTCAAACTCCGAAGCCAAGTCATAGCAGTAGACGCGGCGGCCGTGTTAATTGCCTGGTCTCCAGGTCCTGACCACACTTGTCAGAGCCCAAAAGAATTCCTGTTTAACCTCCCTGGACTAAGGAAGAAGCAGTGTAATGCTGGGGCTGCAGCTTAGAGCCTATAATTAAGGCACCGCCCAAACCAGACTGGTTTTACTCCTGGGCATCTTCAGTGTTGCCTTGCTCATTGCCCAGCATGAGAGTATTGAAGGGGGAGAGGGATTGGGGGGGTTGGGATTTGAATAAAACAAAAAATGGCTTTTTTTCATTTAATTCAAAATGAGAATTTAAAAACAGATTTTTCATTAACATAGCCTAGGAATCGAGGCAACTAAGGCAGTTTCTTATGGTTTTGTTTCAGGAAAGGGCGTTCGGACTCATGCAAAAGGGAATCTTAGGTTTTTGTATCACATCTTGTCCAATATTTAGAGTCAGTGAGGACAGTTAAATCGGTTTCTGGGCTGATCCTATTAGGCGGTATGTCCCTGAAAGCTCCTGAGCTAGGATTGTGGGATTTATATCTGGAAGAGACCTCAGAGGTCATCTGCTTCAGCCCTCTCATTTTACAGAGGAGGAAATTGAGGCCCGGGGGTAAGCATCAGAGGTGAGATTGGAATCCATGTCAATGCTCTTTCGTGAGCACCAGACCACCTCTCAGTGGAGAACACACCCTCTTCTCATGGTTCAGTTTTAACAAAAATTACCGTGGGGAGAAGACAGAACAATGGCAGTCAAAGATGGAAATTCATGAATTTGTGAATGAATAAGCATTTCTTAAACACCTACTCTGTACCAGGCAGGCCTGGGCTAAGAGCTGAGGATACAGAGGCAAGCCAGCAAGAGAGACAGTGCTGGGAAGGCGAGGCCCTCAGGATGCTCGAGCGAGGAGAGGCCTCCACCATCGCTGACATACGGAGAGCACTCAGAAGCTGGCAAAACCCTTCACACACATTATCTTATTTGAGTCTTACAACAACCCCATGGAGAAGGCACTACAAGTGTTATCCCCAACATTTTTACAGATGTAAAAACTGATTCTCACAGTGGTGCCAGGATTGGCTAAGGTCACACGGCTAGTAAGTGACCGAGGTGGAATTAGAGCTTAGGTCAGCTAGGGCTCTACCCATTGGGCAACACTTCCTTTCCTCTGCTTCAGCCCCCTCATTTTACACATAAATCAATAAGCATTCATTAAGTGCTTACTATGTGCTAATCAGGGCTGGGAATACAAAGAATGGCAAAAAAAAATACTTGCCCCTCAGGGAACTTATCTCTCTTCCTAAGGAGGGATACTAGGAAGAAATGGAGGTCCACAGGCAAAGGACTTGCCCAGGGTCACACAGCTAATCAGCCGCAGGTCCAGCAATAGAACCTGAAGTTTTTGACTCCATGTCCAGCATTCTACGTCATGAGACTTAGGACAGAAACGCAGAGAGACAGGCAGACAGACCTCGGTAGACTTTAATAGATGGATAGATAGCCATAGAGAGATAGATAGATAGGGAGGCATAGACAGACAGATGGACGGACAAACAGACAGACAGACAGGGAGAGACAGATGGACAGACCTAGATGGACATTAATAGATAGACAGGCAGACAGACAGATGGCAAATAGATCGATAAATAGATGGGTATAGATGGATAGATAGGCATTGACAGATAATTGATATACAGATATAGATGGATATAGAGATGGACAAGTAGACTTGGACATTGTTAAATAAATATGGATGGATCGATTTAATAGATTATATATATACATACACATAGATATGTAGATATAGAACTAAATGGACTTAGACACTGATAGGTAATTGATACACAGATATAGATAGATATAGAGCTAGATAGAGAAGCAGACTTAGATAAACATTAATAGGGAGATATGAATGGTTGGATGAATAGATGACTGCTAGATACACATGGAGATATATATATATATATATATATATATAGTAGTGAGAGAGAGAGAAATGGTTATAGAAATAGATATAGATAGACAGAGAACACATTTATTAATCTCTTTCCATTTACCAAGACAGATGTGTTCCCAGTGGAGAGGGGGACAACCCAAATTGCCTTCCCCCAGTCACTGATAAATGCTCCCAAGTTGACATAGGTTTCAAAGGCACGTGAATACATTGCTGGGTAACACCATTGTGGTCCAGCCCCCTGCCTGCCTGTTGTCTTGGAGTTCTCAAATTCTTAGGACTTCAGCCTCCGAGAAGCAGAGGGGCCTTAGAGAGCATCCAGCCGACCCTACCCCCTCACTTTGCAGAGTCCCTGAGTGAGGGAGTTACCCACGTGGAAAGTGGCAGAGAAAGGGACACAGCCCAGCTCTTTTGCAAATGCTCCTTCCCCTCCCCTCTTCACACACCAAGAGGCCCAGGAGCCTCCGGGCTATTTGCCGCTAGGGCTTGGGGCTGGTAGAGCCACCCTGGGTCTGGCCTGGTTCTAATGATAGAGGAGGTTCTGGGGTGTGGAGGGAAGCAGTAACAGCATGATGTATTTTTAGTCCCCCTTCCTTCCCTACATATCCTATTCAAACTTTGATCATTGTTCTTAAGCCAGTACATTAAAAAAAAAGAATCAATACCATCTACATTTTTCTCCTTAGAATTTTTCTTAAAGAACTGGAAAACTGTGTTGAAAATCCTGAATTTCTCGGCCGGTGCTTTCTAAAAAGGGTAAGTTCACTTTTCCTGGCTACCTGGAGTAATTCCATTTCATACCTGCTTCTGGATCAGCTGGTGAGTGCAAGGCACTGGCCTTGAACCTTCCATTCCTCAGTCCTTTGAGCGGTGGGCCATTGTTCCATGGGCATTTGTTAAGTGCCTGCTACATGGCAGGATCCTTGCTGGATGCTAGAGTTTTGTTGTTGTTGTTGAGTTGTTTCAGTGGGATCAAACTCTTCATGATCCCATTGGGATTTTCTTGGTAAAGATACTGGAGGGGTTTGCCATTTCCTTCTCCAGTTCATTTGACAGATGAAGAAACTGAGGCAAAGCGGGTGAAATGACTTGCCCAGGGTCCCACAGCTACTAAGTGTCTGAGGCCAGATTTGAATTCATGGAGACACAGAAGCAAAAAGGAAACAGGTCTTACCCTATAGGATCTTATAGTCCATTGGGGAATGGATACATACGTGAGTATGTGCAAAAAGAGTATATATCAATCAACAAAGATTTATTAGACAGCCACTACACGTCAGACATTTGTGCTAGGTGCTAGGGATAGAGACAAAAATGAAACAGGCCCTGCCCTCACAGAGCTTACATTCTATAAAGAGAGACAACTCTTTCATAAATAAAATTTTTTAAATTAATTAATTAATTAATTTTAGTTTCCAACATTTATTTTTATAAGATTTTGAGTTCTAAATTTTTCCCCCTTCCTCTTCTCCCTCCTCCCCAAGACAGCATGCAATCTGGTGTAGGCTAAACATGTACAATCATATTAAACATATTTCCACATTAATCATGTTGTGAAAGAAGAATCAGAACAAAAGGGAAAAACCACAAGAAAGAAAAAGACAAAATAAGAGAGAGAGAGAATATAGTATGCTTCCACCTGCATTCAGACTCCATAGTTCTTTCTCTGGATGTGGATAGCATTTTCTATCATGAATCTTTTGGAATTGTCTTAAATCACAGCATTGTCGGGAAGAGCTAAGTCTATCCAAGTCGGTCATCACACAATATTGCTGATACAGTGTAGAATGTTCTCCTGATTCTGCTCACTTCACTCAGCATCAGTTCATGCAAGTCTTTCCAGGTTTTTCTGAAATTTGCTTGTTCATCATTTCTTATAGCACAATAGTATTCCTTTACATTCATATACCACAACTTGTTCAGCCATCCCCCAATTGATGGACAATTCAAATTCCAATTCTTTGCCACCACAGATAGAGGTGCTATAAATATTTCTGTGCATGTGGGTCCTTTCCCCCTTTTTATGATCTCTTTGGGATACAGACCTGATAATGGCATTGTTGGGTCAAAGGGTATGCATAGTTTTATAGCCCTTTCAGCATAGTTCCAAATTGCTCTCCAGTTTCATAAATAATTGTAAGAGAGAAGGGATTTGTTCCTTTACTCCCAGTTCAGTTGATATAATAAAGATAATGTAGTATTAATGTTTTTAATACCTTGTGACATGTTACGAGATGTGAACACCTTTCTCTGATACGATTAGGAAGAGCAATGCCTGCTAAAGCAACAATGAAAAGTGATTGATCAGCCCAACCCTTTGTCTCCCTTCCCCACCCCCAATCACCCCGAACCAAAAAGACAGTTCAATAGGTGGTATCAGTCCAAGTCAGACAGAACTAGGAAAAGTGGGGGAAGATCAAATCTCCCCTCCTTTAGATAACTATATGGAGAATAAACTCAAAATAAATGCAGGGTAAGTTGTTAGCATAAGTAGGAATGGTGAGATTGGCTTTTGGGAGACCTCAGATCTGACAAGCATCCCTTAGATTCTCTACCTGAGCCTGGGACATGATGTTCCTGAAAAGTATTTGCCTTCCTGTTTATATTTTACTTAGACTAATAATAGGATGAATGAGTGTGGCCTTCCAGCTGCTGGTTGGTGGGAGGAGGCCACCAGGCTTTGTGCTGGGGGTGGGGAAGTCAGACACTGGCCCGGAGGCGCCTGGGCCAAAATGATGCTCATGACACCGGTTGAAAAGCCCTGGTGAATGGCATAACCTACATAATCAGTCTTTTGTGATTAAAAATAGCAGCGACTTTAAAATGGCAGCCAATCCCTTTGCTAAGAACATGTTGTTTCTTGCTTAGACAGTATAGAGTGACAGATTTTGTGGATTTAGGAGTTTCTTATTCTTGTTTTTAATACACAAATACTCCTTCAGTCATGAATGCCTGACTTTTGTGGCTCCAGTATATACTTGTGCCCTTTTGCTCCGGCCCCAAGGCCTTTCTGTGTAGCCCCGCATTTGTCTGTTCATCTACCCCCGTCCTGGACAACAGTCGATCCGCTCTGGGCCAGAATGCCGCCTGGTAGTCAACAAGGAAGAGGTCCAACCCAACATTTCAGTCCACTCACCTTTACCCCTGTCCCCAGCTCACCACCTCCTTTCTTTCCCCCAGGGGGATCACATACATACATATGTATATGTATATATGTACATATGTGTACATGTGGATCATACACGTGCCTTTGCCACTCTCTCTTTTTCAGACTTCCTCTTTAATCCCATTTCTTGGGAATCACAGAATTTGAGAGTGGGAAGGGACCTCAACAGCCCTGAAAGAAATCCCCCCATGACCTGTCTGACAAAGGGTCATTCTGCTTGAAGACCCCTGGTAACCAGTCTCCTCTCAGCACCACCCGCTCCAACAGACATCAAGCCTAAATTGGTCTCTGAGCGACTTCCATCCGTTGTTGCTGGTCCTGCCCTCTGGGACCAAGCAGAACGAATCTCATCTGTCTTTCACAACAGCCGCTAATGCCAGAACACAATAACTATGGAGTCCTCCTCCCCACAGTCTGCTCTGAGACTCCTCTCCACACCCTCACATGACAGAGACTCCAGGTCCTGGCTCATCCTCATTGTCTGCCTTCCTTTGGACATTCTCCAATAATGTCCTTGCAAAATTGTAGTGCCCCGAATGAAACTAGTAACTCTTTCTTCTAACTTCTTCCAGGAACCATTGGCATAGCAATGAGTTAGCCCGTGGATTCTGGAAAATAATTTAATTATTCCAGAAAAGTCATCCAACTATGCATCAAAGCTTTGATCCAGTGATCCTAATGCAAGGCAAATACCCCAGGGAACTTAAAGAAAGGAAGAAATGTGACTTGTCTGCTGAACCATTCATAACCCTTGTCCAGAAATCTCAGGAATATCTGTCTCTCTTTTACACACACACACACACACACACACACACACACTCTCTCTCTCTCTCTCTCTGTCTCTCTCTCTCTGTCTCTCTGTCTCTCTCTGTCTCTCTCTCTCTATCTCTCTCTTTCTCTCTCTCTCTCTCTGTCAGTCACATGTGATGAAGATAAGAGGACCAGGTTAGTTGGACTGAAGAGTGTTTGAAAAACATATATGAGACCTCAGACCAAACACTTGACACTTACTAGCTGTGTCACCCTGGGCAAGTCACTTAACCCCAATTGCCTAAAAATATATATAGATATGAGGCAAATATGCCATTGTTGATATACCATAGAATAGGGGCAGCTAGGTGGCACAGTGGATAGAGCACTGGCCCTAGAGTCAGGAGGACCTGAGTTCAAATGTGACCTCAGACCGAACACTTGATACTTACTAGCTGTGTGACCCCGGGCAAGTCACTTAACCCCAATTGCCTTTTTTTTAAAAAAAAAAAAAAAGATAAACTATAGAACGTTCAAGGGGGAAGTAAAACAGGTTGGAAAGGTAGGAAGGGACAAGGTTGTGAAGGACTGTTTTATTGTTGTTTTGGTCATTTTTTCCCTTGTTTTTAAATAGTATTTTATTTTTTTCCCCAATTACATGTCAAGACAATTTATAGCTTTCATTTTTACCAGATTTTGAGTTCCAAATTTTTCTCCCTCCCTTCCCCTCTTCCAAAAGTAGCAGGCAGGTTATATATGTGCTATCATATAAAGCCTATTTCCATATTAGTCATACTTGTGAAAGAAACAGATCAAAAGGAAAAAAACCACGAAAAAGAATAGAGTATGTGAAAAAAGAGATGCTTCAGTTTATATCCTGAGTCCATCAGTTCTCTGCCTGGATGTGGACAGCATTTTCCTCTGTGAGTTCTTTGTACTTGTGTTTGATCAATGTGTTGCTGAGAAGAGCTGAGTCATTCGTAGCTGATCATCATACAACGAGGCTGTTCCTGTGTACAGCATTCTCTTGATTTTGCTCACTTCACTCAGCATCAGTTCATGCAAGTCTTTTCAGGTTTTTCTGAAGTCCGCCTGCTCATCATTTCTTATAACACAATAGTATTCCATTATATTCACATACCACAACTTGTTCAGTCATTCCCCAACTGATGGACATCCCCTCAAATTCCAATTCTTTGCCACCACAAAAAGAGTTGCTCTAAATATTTTTGTACATGTGGGTGTTTTCCCTCTTTTATGATCTCTTTGGGATACAGAACCAGTAGTGGTATTGCTGGACCAAAGGGTATGCACGTTTTTATAGCCCTTTGGGCATAGTTCCACAATGCTCTCCAGAACGGCAGGATCAGGGGCAGCTAGGTGGCACAGTGGATGGAGCACTGGCCCTGGAGTCAGGAGGACCTGAGTTCAAATCCAGCCTCAGACACTTAACATTTACTAGCTGTGTGACCTTGGGCAGATCACTTAAACCCACTGCCTAGCCCAAAAAACAAAAACAGAATGGTAAGATCAGTTGTAAAGGACTTTAAACGACAGAGCGCTTTGTGTTTGATTTTGGAAGTAAGAGGAAGCTGCCAGGGCTGGTCAAGTTTCTGGGAGCAAGGAGTCCCATTAAAAGGCTGTTGAAATAATTCAGGCAACAAGTGATCACGGCCTTTGCTAGGCCAGCAGCTGCCCAAGTGGAAAGAATAATGATTAAAACTTCTACGGAGGCAGAAAAGACAGTATTTGGCCATTGATTATCTATGTGGGATGAGGGAAAGTGAGCCCAGGATACAAACCTAGGAGACTGAAGGAATGGTGGTACTCACAACAGAAA